TTGTGTGAATATATACATTTAATCTATAAATTGCTTATCTTTAATTCCTTCTTTTTCTATCTGTCTTGATTTGATCCAATTATACCATTTTTCCCAAGTTCTGTAGTATTCAGATTCCTCTTTCTCTTGTATTATACGCATTATTTTAATAGTATCTGGGTTTTATTAGTTACATCAGGGATCCCCAACTTGTGAGCCACAGACCACTATCGGGCTGTGGCTTATTTGCAAATGGGCTGCAGGAGAGGCAGGCCACCACACATGCACACACAGCTCAACTCGCACAACTAGCAGGCTGGTGGGAATATGCACATATGCGCAGTTCAACTTAAGCTGTGCATGCACACACATGCATGCCCACTCACTGCTCACGTGGCCTGGTTATCCTCTTCCCCTCCCCACAGCCAGGCCACCAAGCCACAAAGGTTGGGGACCACTGAGTTACAGGGTTGGAAAAATACCAGTAGGATTTGGAGAAATCTTTTTTTTTTTTTTTGCAGAACTAGTACAGCACATCTGCCAATGTTGGCTTGGCATTGCCCAGGCAGAAGCAAATAACCAGGGAATGTTAGTCACATTATAGTTATTGTACAAGTTTGCTGGTCATGGTTTCAGATAGATTTAAATATATTACCCGCAATGTGAGAGATATGCTAAAAAAAGTATATGCTGACCATCCACTGCTCAGATTCTGAACGTGCATCCTGGAGAAGTGTTAATTGGCTTTTAATAAATGTAGATAGAGTGAGATCTGAGATCTACCAGGAGATTTCATTTCTACCTTCTGTCCGTCTCTGCCACGGGCACTTCACCATTCATCAACAATCTGTCAAAAAAGAGAAATGGCTGCACTTCATGAAATTTGGATGAGGGTTTTACAAGCTGCTGGTGGAGAGATGACGGTGACTTCAAATCTTGCGTATTATCTGTTGCCAGTCTGTCAATAAGAGTCTTGTGCCAACCCAAAAACTTCCTCAAAGCCAATTCAATGTAACTGAAAAATAGAAGGATGGGTAGGCAAATGGGATCAGAATTTCCAAGTAGTTGCCATCAGCAAAACTGCACAGGGACAGGACCATTAACAGGATGTGCCAGACAGTTCTGGTGCCTGTTGATTCTGGTGCCAGTTGCAAGGAATAAAGGGGTGCTTTAGGGTGAGGGATACTCCTGGCATGTCTATTGGAGAGAGCCAGTCTGTTTCATGCATCCTGTAGCAATAGCATTTAAATTTATATAGCGCTTCAGAATGCTTTACAGTCCGCTCCAAGTGGTTTACAAGGTCAGCGTGTTGCCCCCCCAACAATCGGGGTAATTGGAACAATATGCTATTCCCAAATCACAGACAATAACATAGCAAAGCAGGGGTTGGATTCTACCGGTTCAGACCGGTTCTATAGAACCGGTTGTTATGATTCTGCGCAGTTCAGAGAACTGGCAAATTGTGCCCCTGGCTGACCCCGGCCCTCTCCTCCCACCCCTCTCCTCCCTCCCCTCTCCACCCCATCCAGTCAGTCCTTATCACGCATGTGCAACATCACGCACATACCCAACATTGCTGACTGCATTCTCCCCTGCCCAGTCACTCCTTAAATTATTTCTTTTTTTCGCCCTCTCAATGATCAGCTGTTCCAGTGATCAGCTGTGCCAGGATCCCCCTCACTGTCTTACAGGAGGCTTCCCTGAGGCCCGGGAGGCAAAAAGGGGTGTGGGGGTGGGTGGGCGTGTTGCCAACACCCCACACTCCATTTTGTTGCCTTCCTGAGCCCCAGGGAAGCCTTCTGGGAGCAAAAACTCCACACCCACTCAGTCACATGACCACGTCCACGTAGCCATGTCCACAGAACCAGTTGTTAAATAACTTGAATCCCACCCCTGATGCAACGTCTTCTAATTAGGAAGCAATATTAGAACTCTGTATGTGAAAAATCCCTTAAAATCAATAATTTCTCCTGTAGGGATTGGAATCCAGTCCTTTTGATTATTATATATTCTGATTTATATATATATATTGGAGTAAATCTCCAAGTATGTTTTCTGTTTTGTCTAAATACTCTTGATTTGTCTAGTTTCTTAAGACCCATTGGATCTCTGAGGCAATAAACATATTGGGTCAGAAGTGGTGTCAAACTGGAGGCCAGTGGGCCCGATGCATCAGGCACAGGCCACGTCCACCCCAGGTCTGCAAAGGCAAAAAAACGTTGCGATACGTCACGTGACATCACATCTATACAATATAGTTATGGATTAATTGGTTTATTTTTGGATTATCTTAAGTGCTGGCTGTTTTTTTTTTTCTTTCTTTTTCTTATTAGTACATTCTGCCTTTTCTAGTATACAAAAGTAGAACTTCTTTTACAAAAACCTGAACAAAATGATATATAAATAATGATATTTTAATATGTTCTCTCTGCAAGCATATTTGTATGTGACTTTTAGATGAGTATATTTAGAAATTAAATTACTACTGCTGTTATTGTATGAACATAATTTTGAATCTTTTTCTTTTTTGAGCCAAGACTTGTACTAGAAAATTTGGAGAAACATAAAATCGAAGGGAAAATTGTGTTCTGACTAACACTTTTGCTCAGATTTGTCAACCTTTCATTGTAATTTGGGAAGAGTCCATTTTTCAGGCTGCCAATTGCTATAAACATTTTAGTACACACTATGAGTTTATCATTTTACAAATATATAGTGAAGCTCTACGTGTGGTAAATACCACATGTTTGAGGAAGTTCTATTCTTGTATCATCTCAAAGATGAGTTGTAAGTTATATGTGGTTATTTTATTTATATTCTATCTATTTTAAAAATGTGAATCAAACTTTCTGTAAAATCGTGACAAAGGACAACATGCACCTTATCTGGCAAACGAAGAGTAAATGTGAAGTTTACTATTTTTACTATTATATTTCAGAAACAGTACACTGTAAAGATGTTGCTATAATCCTGATAGGCATAAATACTCAAAATGAAAACTAAATAAAAATGCTTCAGGGATGATTTAAATCAGTGTACATGTTGTGCAGGCTGGCTAGAGAATTCTGGGAGTTGAAGTCCACTCGTCTTCAAGCAAACTTGAGAAACATTGATTTAAAGGAATCCCAGGCTTAGCTTTAAAAAACAACAACGGAAGATGGTCCTATAATCATACGGCTATAGAAATTTTTAAAGGTAAATACTGATGTCTTGTATTTTGCCAGGAAATAAACCGGTTGCAATGAAACTCAAGGAAAAACTGGTACTATTTTTTTTCTCTCTAAGAATGGATCATGATGGTCTAAAATGCTTATCTGTATATGTTTTAGCATTTACTTCTTGGTATGCATCAATATAGTATTAAGGTTTCTGGTTTCTGGTGGGGTTTTTTTTTAAAATCACCCATTTTGGAAATGTTTGGATATTTGTCCCAAGGTTCATAAACAGCTTCAATGCTGTAAGAGAAATTATTACAGGTTCCTTCATTGTTCACTAGCTTTGGTGTTAATGGCAGCTGGATTTGATTTGAGTCAACGAAATCAAATCCAGCTGATTTGGTTGACTCAACCTTCCATCCTTCTGAGGCCAGTAAAATGAGGAACTCTATAAACCACTTGGAGAGTGCTAAAAAGCACTATGGGGTGGTATATAAGTCTAACTGCTATTGCTATTTGAATAATAAATTCAAATAATAAGCCAACATCAACACAGCACACAGAAGGACATAGGAAGAAGTGTGCATAGAAGCATGTCCTTCAATCAAACATTTTCAAACAATTACAGCCTTGTAAGTTGTGATTTATGAAATAGTGGACAAATGTTAGCATTTATGCATGTGTCTATTCAAACTATGCTCCAATTATTTGTATTGCTGTAAATCAATGGTCCTCTGGATTTTTGCAGCATAATAATGGTAACTATCTTTTGTTCTGGACTTTTCTCTCTATCACATGTACATCTACTTTATGGTGTTAACTATTTAATCTCCAAATCTTTACTGCACATCCTATAGAAACCTGGAACTAGCCTAATCAGTTGGGAAAATTTATGTTCAAGAAAAAGAGGATTAACAAAGTTTTGGAGGGGGGAAGGTAACACTGATGAGCTGAGACGATAATCCATTTTCTCTGTGTCTCATTTTATTTTATTATTTGTTAATATTCTGTTTCTTTCACATTGCTAGCCAATTTTGACTAACTTTGTTGGTCTCTGGAGTTAATTAAACAGCCATTATACCCTGAACATCTTGGAATTGAACTCAAACTACTCAAGAAGTGAAGAAAGGGGAGAAAAGAAAAAAAATGTAACAAAAAATGTTAGAACAGTCCAAGCTTTCAAATTCTACTCTAAACCATCAAAGCAGCTAAATAAATAAATGGATTAAATAAGCTGATCAATGCATTGATCAACAGGAATTGGTGTATCCTAGTCCAGGGATTCTCAAAGCTTCTAAAATAATAAATTTGTGTAACCCTCTCCCCCCACCAAGATGAAATAATCAAGCTTAGGGTGAGGCAAGCATTAATTATATCATTTGCATTTAATAATTATGTTTTAATTAGATTCTCAAGCCACCTGTTATGGGTTTGGTTGTAGACTAACATTGAGTCACATTCAGATTGAGTTGTGACAGCCCTTTCGTTTTCAGAATGGGAGTGTTGTCAAAGCTTACTTGTCACATTTCCCGGATAAGCCTGTAGCCTGTAATCTACCAGATATTACTATTAAACTCCATGTCAGATTTTATACTAGAAACTGTTGGAGGGGAGACTATTTTTGTAGTTGTATAGGCAGGCCTTAGATCCAGCCAATCCATTCTCATCATCTTAAAATTTTACTATCCAATAAAATATATGTTGCTAGTGTTAACTTTCAATAAAGGACAAAATATCTCCATTAATAGCTAAAATTAAATGTTTCATTATAAGACAAACTCTTCTAACATTCTGGTAGCTATTGAATTTCCTGGCAATGAGCCACTGTTGACAAATTGCTCTGTTCCTTTTGTTTTTTCTTCTGCATTTTTTTTCTTTTCTTGATAAACTTTCTTCCTGCGATTTCATCTTTAAGAATTTGTATAAAGCAAATACACCCACACTATTAGCATATAGCAGCATTAAGTTTAAAGCAAAGTCCCTGTCTTTGCCTCTAGTCCGTTCAGTCTTCAACTCCTTCTCCATTGCATTTTTTATTTGCTGGGTGCTTTGATATGTTTCACTTTCAGGAGTTTCAAAATTCATCGGTGTATGCAGAAATTTCTCTCCCCCACTGAATAGCCTGGGCATCACTGCGAAAAGGCAAAGCACCAGCATGACGGAGACTAACACCTGCTGCATTGGAAAAAGCACCATGGGGGTCACTCCTTGGGAAAACCAAGGAGCAAAATCTCCTGTGAGACATGCCATTGTTGCTGTTTTGCTTATGGAACCACAATGAGTGTTTTTTTTTTTTAAAAAAAAAGACGTTATTCCCCACAGTTTTAAGTGTTCATGGCTGACTGGGGGAAAAAGGGGGAGCCATTCTAAAATCCCCATCATAATTAGTGTCAGTGGTCTCCAACTTTTCCAGCTTGATGGACCAGTGGTGGCAGAGGGGATGATTTCATGCATGCATTTGTGAGAGGAGCCCTCAGTGTCTTAATCATAGGTGGTATTCAGCAGGTTCTGGCCAGTTCTGTGGAACCGGTAGTGGAAATTTTGAGTAGTTCGGAGAACTGATGGTGGAAATTTTGAGTAGTTAGGAATTCCACTTCTGACTGGCTCTGCCAGCTGATCGGCTGGGATTTCTTTTGTTGCCCTGCACAGGAGAATGGAGCTGGAAAGCAGGTTAGTGGGGTGGGGAAGGAATGGAATTTTACAGTAACCTTCCCCTGCCATGCTCACCATGCCACACCCACCAAACCAAGCCACGCTCATAAAGCCACGCTCACAAAACCGGTAGTAAAAAAATTGGAATCCCACCACTGGTCAGGGAAAGAAACTTAGGAAGGACCCATTCTAATGCATTGAGTAGTTACAAGTGGTGGAGGGAAATCTGTACCTTCAGACTTGCAAGATTCTATTAATTTAGCTTTATAATAAGGTAGAATTAGCTCATCCTTTTGTGTCTCCTGCTCTGTCTGGAAGGGCTAACCCAAATCAAATCTCCCTAGGGTAAATGAGTCCCCACCTTGGTTGTCAGGAAGGGTAACATCCTCACTATCTTACTCCCTGGTGTTTGCCAAAATCTCCGCCCTACTTATTGTTTTCAATGATTCTTTTAATAAGAATAATAAAAAAAGCTTTAATTAAAAAAGAAAAAGACGATCGGAACTGCAAAGATTTGGGTGCCAGACCTAGTGGTCCCTTTTTGTGAAGATCAATCTTACACTTCCATTTTCTCCCATAACAAGTATTTTTGACATCCCGAATTCTTTCCATCCATAAGATGAAGAAATGCCTGCACTTTACTAAATTCTTATTTTAAAAATGTTTGCTCCCTGTCAGCGCTTATTTCCTTACTGGGGAGAGCTGTGCTGTGCCAGCTTTATATCTAGCTACTAGCTTCCCAATCACTCTTTTTTAAAAATAATTTTTTTTAAAAAATAGTGGCAATCTTTGTTTGGCATCACAAACGTCTATAAATTCAGAACTGTTCAAAAGCAGGTTTATTTTGAAACCAGGGGTGGGATTCTACCAGTTCGCACCTATTCGCTAGAACCGGTTGTTAACATTCTGAGCAGTTTGGAGAACCGGTTGTTAGAAGAAATTATTGGCCTAATCCTGTAAGGAAGGCAGGAAGGAAACATTCTGGTGTTGCTTACAGAAACTGCCTCTCCATTAACCCTTATTACATTCTTGGCAGGACTAGACTTCCTGTCTCTGGAACTTATCTGGAGTTTTTTTTTTCCTCCTTTGCTGGTACTTCGCTTGTGTGGAGTGACCATTCAAAGTTACAATGGCACTGAAAAAAGTGACTTATGACCATTTTTCACACTTACAACTGTTGCAGCGTCCCCACAGTCATGAGAGGCCAGGAGAGGAGATGCGTGCCTTGATGTGAGTGATACTCAGTTGGCCACACCCAGCATATCACATGACCACCAAGCCATGTCCACCCAGTCACATGACTACCAAGCCACGCCCACAACCTAAGCTACACCCACAGAACCAGTTGTTAAAAATTTGAATCCCACCCCTGTTTGGAACTAAGTGCTAAAAGCCTGATTCACTCAAATTTTCTGTCTTATTTATGAAGACATGTGTATCTGCTGGTAAATTCTTTTCAGACAACCGACTGGACAAAATGCTTCCCCTTCTTTGGTTGCCAATAGTTTTAATAATCTTGCGCAGTTCACCCTGACCTGGACAAGGTCCTCTATATATATAAACTCTTTTAAGCTTTTTCTTTCTATAATGGAAAAAAGGGGGAAAAACATTTTTGGTGTGCTTCAGAACTTGAAAGCTTTTTTTTTTTTTTTAACCATCTACACAGAAACAATCAATATAAATAAAAGTGGGCCATTGTATTTACTGGTGAGTGACTTTACAGGGGGGAAAAAAATAACCATCTTTTGCATTTCTGTCTCTTCTGCTGCCATCTAGGGGCAAGTAAGGGTTTAGTCAGCCTGTGGCTTATCACCATTTGTAGCACAAAGAATTTACAAAGATGGAAAGGCAGGGAGAAATCCTATTGGGGCTATATAATTCCTTTAAACAGGAATCAATCGAACTGGAAAGTGCCTATAACCTCTTGGAGGTTTGGCAGAATGAAATCACATTTGCAAGCAAAAATAAATTATTATTATTATTATTTTATGGAGGGAAAGGTCTGCCAAAGGTGGCCTTAGAAATATTGATCAGCTGCATGTGCTAAATTTGATAGCTAATGAGAAGATGCTTAGGGGGAAAAAAAAGAAGTAATGGAGGTCATACAGTCAACCTCTGATCAAATGTGTGTAGCTTGATGCATCCAATATTTGAGCTGTTTCTACTTGGAATCTTTCTAGTCAAATGGTTGCATTAACTTATTAAAGAGAGATCCAATCTGGAATTAACTAAACTAGAACTAAGGAGAAATATCTTGACAGGGAGAACAATTCATCAGTGGAACAGCTTGTCTCCAAAGGTTGTGGGTGCTCCAATACTGGAGATTTTAAAGAAGAGGTCCACATATTTATCAATCATAGGATTCTCCCTTCTCTCATGTGATGATCCAGGGTGTGGCACAAAGGCAACATGGTCAGATAAGCAATAAGAGTTCTTTTATTATCTCCAACTTTGCCCCCAGTGTCCAGGTTACCTTCGGGCTGGAGACAAACTCTCCCAGGAACAGCCTTTGACTGGAGAAAATTCGGTCCAAAACATGGTCAACACAAACTGTAACTTAAAGTCCAAACAAACCAAACTGAACTAATTAGTTTGGCAGGGCAGGAGCAGGAATTTCAAACTTGAAAGCACAGCAAAACTCACACAGTTAGGAAGACACCAGGAACACAGACAAGCCACGATGATGCAAGTCATGTTTGCTCCTAACAGCTTGCCTTTTTTATACACTGTGTTCCCAGTTGCAGCTAATGAAGGGAATCAGGGCCCTTTCCTACTCCATAAGCCATGCAACCCGCATTGCTCTCTTCTCCGTTCCTCCCTGCATGCCCTAGGATGAAGAGGGAGTGGGTCTGGGTCTTCTTCTGAATTCCCTCTCCCTTGTTCTACCTCTTCCCTGCTCTGCCCAGCCAGACTTTGCCCTTCCCCAGTTTCTTCCACAGCCAATGGAGCCACACTCCCACTCCCTGTCAGCTGTTCATCTTCCTCCTTGGATTCAGACTCCAACAGGGGCATGACATCTCAGAATAAAAGATGTCATCTAAAAGACCTTCTGTCACAAGTATGTCATATCATGATGAGTCAAACTCATGACAAACACTAAATGGTAACAAATTGAGAACTAGAATGCAACAGTGAGAAGATTAGATGTTAGATTCGGAGTGTGGAGGCCTAAGCTATAGAATAGCCACACTCAGCCATAGAAGCATTTAGTAGGATTTTGCACCAGGTGTTCTCTGTAAGCCAAACTTATTATTTTATCCCATTTGTCCACATGGATTCTAAATATTTGGTGTAACCTTTCCATATTGTATCAAGAGCTCTAATTACAAGAACTATGAGAATTGATTTTTTTACCTCCTCCCTAATCTTTCAACCTCAATTTGTAATTCATGATATTTTGTTATTTTCTCCAGCTGCTTTTCATTGATTTGACTCTCTCTAGGTACTGCCACATCAATGAGCCACACCTTCTCTTTCTTTAGAGCAGTAATGCCTGATAGGTTCTATATATCGTCACTTTGAATTTGGAAATCCCATAAAATTGTAATTAATATTTGCAAACAGTTTTTAGATGTATTGTCCCTGTGATTTTTACAAATCTCAAAGTCCACTTATTTACATGTGTTCCAGTGGATAAATTTTGCAATCGTGTGTTGCTTGGACAATTTTTGCAACTCTGTATTGCTTACACTGAGCAATTTTACAAATAGTATGTCAGGATTCTGGCAATTACCCACATTTAAATCATGAGTCTCGAGCCAAACTTCCAAAACTTAAAAAAGGATTTATTGGGAGTTAATATGTCCAGCACTGCCTGGGTGTAGCTGACTCTGAGACACATCATTCATCGTCATCCTTGACCCTGGTTTTCCCCCACCCTCTGGGTGTATCATAATTCATATTCTCCAATGGGACACATCCATAGCCAAGAGTCATCAATCATGCTCTCCAGTTAGAATTTTGCGTGGCAGAAACTTCAGTCACCTAGTTACTATCTTTGAAAACATTTATGGAATGTACTTTTGGTTTGCAAGCTGCCACACTGCTCCCCCTTCCCTTTCTATTGGCAACTCTAAAAAGACCATAGAAATATTTTATGAGTTGACATAGTACCATAGTAGTAATAGTAGTAGTAGTAGTAGTAGTAGTAGTAGTAGTAGTTGTTGTATTTAAAAATAGGCCTTTTACAATTCTACATTCTAAGCATAGAATTAGCTTGCAATTCTATATTCTCACCACTGCACCACCACAGCACTGTATAATCAGGCTTGGTGGGGGGAGGGCATAGACATTGGGGACTGTGGGTCTGAAATGGCTTTCTCCCTGCTTTCAATATACTTACATCATTGGCATCACAGCAAGAATTGGATAATTCCATCAACTCAGCTCCTTCCTTCTAACACTCCTTTTGTTTTGAAGTCGTTTTGCAGGTTGACACCCTTCTTCTGTGATTCTGAGTTGGATTCAGAATCGGGAAGGGAGGTAAGTCACGAGCAACACTTTAATACTGGTTTTCTCCCCTCCTTTTCTTTCTTTTATAGAGGAAAAAGATGCTGGGTCCCCAAATCCTGTCTTCTTTTTGGTAGAAAATGGGGATTGACAGGGCTCGTTCCCATCATTTCAGTTTTGTCCCTGGTTACTGTTGGTAAGAACCAGTGAGTTAAAATATTGGGAGGGCTGCACACTGAGCAGTGATGTACGCTTGCAAACTTCTGAGAGACCATTCTCAGCCTTGAATTCCTTCATATATATAGATCAGAGGTCTCCAAACATGGCAACTTTAAGACTTTTGGACTTCAATTCCAAGAATTCTGGGACGTGAAGTCCAAAAGTCTTAAAGTTGCCAAGTTTGTGGACCCCTGCTATAGATGATTCAAAGTGACAATGTACATGTGACATATTGTGCTACACAGGGAGCAGTTTGTTTGTGACCACAGCTATTTGTGTGCAACCAGAATCGGTAGAAGGCAGCAATGGGACTTTCTGGGCTAAGAAATGCAGTTCTACCAGTTTTGTTCAAATTTGACAAAACCCTTCTGGGTTTAGCTCTTTGGGAGATCACAACAGAATGGCAACAGGTGAAGCTGACCAGGGACTGGATGGAAAGAACATAAGTGCCATGCCGATCCTAACTCTTGAGATCACTTAATTTATGCCTCTGACATAATGGGAGCTGAAGCAGAACAGATTTTATACACCTTGTACAATAGAAGTAAAAGGGAAATGTTTCTTTAACAGCCATGCAGCTAAGGACAACATATTCCTGATCCCTTATGGGCCAGGGAAGAGAAGAGAAGAAGGGAATATCATGAAGACACTGATGTTGTCAAGGCCTATTTGTGTTATGACTAGGTGCAAATGGGGACACAACCTTCATCTGACTTTTGCACAATAAAGTGAAACTATTATTAAACTCATTACTGAAAACGGTTTCCTCTGACATTTAAGTTTTCAATGCACAGAAGAAGGAGACATTAGGGCATCAGGAGTTAGGTGAGGGGGGAAGAGAATAAATTAATTTAAATTTAAAAACTTAACTTGCTGCAGCAAGGGAGAGTTAGCTCATAATGCCTTCAGCAGAGAGAAATACAAAGATGCATTTCTAGTTAGATTAACAAGTGTTGGCAGAACCAGTTCATTCTAAATTCTTGATTGGTTATATGATAGACAGACAGACAGACAGACAGACATGATAGACAGACAGTGATAAATCAAACAGAACAATATGTAAGGATTTGTTTCCTGAAAACTTTCCTGCCTTTTTCAGCTGATGCTTGGCATTCATTCTGAAATATTTATTTCCATCAGGCAATTGAACTTTATCATTTTGACATTTAGAAATGTTGGAACCCACGATGATGTTAAATAAATAAAAAAAATCTGCATGTTCGTGACATCTTACAAAGTGCAATGAGTTTGCTTTTTCTGAAACACAGAAAGGTTGTTATGTAATTTAATGTGCATACAATATTATTTACAGAAATTCCTGCCAGCCACTAGGAAAAACAGCCTCTGAGAAAAGGCTGCGTAATAGATCAGTGTAAAGTTTCTAAGGAATGATTTGATTGCAGGCAGATTTTATTGACTCTGCCTTTTAAACTGAATCTCTGAATTTATTCAAGGCATCACATTGAATCAGGTACATTCAGATGTTCTTGGGAGAGATTCACCGATGGTTTAGAAATGTGATAGTCTCTCTGGCTTTACTGAACCTCAAACATTGCTGTTGCAGTTTACAGATTACAGATTAACAGAGCTGGAAGGGACCTTGTAGGTCATCTAGTCCAATCCCCTGCCCAAGCAGGAGACCCTACACCATTTCTGACAAATGTCAGTCCAATCTCTTCTTGAAAGTCTTAAGTGATGGTGCTCCCAAAACTTCCGAAGGCAAGCTGTTCCATTGGTTGATTGTTCTCACTGTCAGAAAGTTTCTCCTTATTTCCAGGTTAAATCTCTCTTTGTTCAGTTTCCATCCATTATTCCTTGTCTGGCCTTCAGGTGCTTTGGAAAATAACTTGACCCCTTCCTCTCTATAGCAGCCCCTCAAATATTGTTACACTGCTATCATGTCTCCCCTGGTCCTTCTCTTCACTAGACTAACCATTCCCAGTTCCTGTAACCGTTCATCATATGTTTAATTGGTTGTCCACTAAGACTTCAAGATCCCTCACATAGTTACTGCTATTAAGCCTGATTTCACCCATTCTATATGTGTACTTTTGGTTTTTCTTGTCTAAGTGTAAGACTTTACTTTTGTCCACATCGAATTTCATTTTGTTAGATAGGGCCCAGTGTTCAAGTCTGTCAAGATCCATCTGGATCTTGAGCCTATCTTCTAGGGTGTTAGCTATTCCTGCCAGTTTAGTATCATCTGCAAATTTGGTAAATTACTAAAACTTACTAAAAAGCTTACTAAAACTGAGAGTAGTGGTGAGTGAGGCTTTCTGATATTGACATGAAGAGCCAGCCAAGTACGCACCATTATATTTGCAGTATATGAAAAAGCTATTGTGCTATTTGCATCTCATCTTCTGCTTGAATTTGCTTGGAGAATGGGAGAGTCATTTTCTTGCACTTTGGCCTGAAAAATCTGGTCTGGTTTTTGCTATATGATTCTTAGCCTCTCTCTTTTTTTTAAAAAAAAATGTGCTCCATGGAACTCAAAGGTTCTGTAAGAATTTGTTGGCTTCCTGTGAAAGATTAGAAGAAAAACATGTTAACTTGCATTCATTCTCTTGATCAGGGACTCTGGGATTTTATTTTCATAAGCAATACTGACAATTCAGACAATACTGCGACCCTTCAAAAAGACCTCAACTATGTAGCAGAATGGTCAAGCAAATGGCAACTTCAAATCTCAACAAATAAATGCTCTGTCTTACATATTGGGGGAAAAAATCAGAAAATAAAATACAGGCTGAATAGTCAAGACCTTGTTGTTGATGCAAACTCTGTCAAGGATCTTGGACTATTCATCTCTAATGATCTAAGTGCTAGAGCCCACTGTAACTACATAGCCAAAAAGGCGTTAAGAGTTGTTAACCTAATCTTACGTAGCTTTTTCTCTGGTAATATTACACTAATAACTAGACTTAGAGTGTCTACTATTGACCTCACCCCTTTCCTAAGAGGTCTGTAGGGGGCGTGTATAAGTGCACCAACATGCCTACTGTCCCTGTCCTATTGTTTCTTTTATTTTTCTTATATGTATCCATGTGTTCATAACTATGTTTTTCCTTATACCTATTATTTTGTAAGCAATTGACAAACCGAAATAAAATAAAATAAAGAGGTTCCACAGCCTGGAAAAAAATTAAAAGTCACTGCTCTACTTTCTCCAAATTCATATTTGATTATTCTTATCTTTTCTAATTCAATCTGTTCGTAGTCATTTACAAAAGTTAATTTCTTGTGTTTATTTGGTCTGCAGATCAGTTCTTTTCAACTTTTGTCCCTAATCTTCCCTAATTAAATAGAAAAAACATAATTTTTTTTCCTTCGTTTTCCAAGTGAGTCGAGATAGTGTGCTGATTGTTACTGCACATTACATAGCCTGTGTATCGTAGCTTATATATACATACTAGCTCAATACCTGTGCTTCGCTATGAAACTATGTGGTCGGGCTTAGTTTTTGGGGAGGAAAATAACGGGGGGGGGGAAATCTGCCTCTGCCTATCAGAATCCATTGGTATTCATCTCACTAGAGTTGAGGGCTGTTTGGAAAGTGAAACAGTATTTGCTGTGTGAGCAAGGAGACAGCAAGGAGCCTGGGCGTGGCTTAGCTCAACTGTTCTGTACTAAAGCTGCTTGGTGCTGTGAAACTAAAACGGAAACTCCTCTCCTTTGCTTGTATTTTACATTTGAAACAGATTTCTTTTCAGGTGGGGAGAGGGAGTAGAACTCCTTAGCATCAGAGCATGTTAATAATAATTTACGAAATACTAATGCTCTGATGGTCATTTCGAAAAATCCTTTCTTAGTGAGCACCTAGAAGCCAAGAGGAACATATGTACCAAATTTCGAGTTTGTAGGCTTTACGGTTCTGGAGATTTTGTGTGATGATATATGAGTGGTATTTTGCTTTTATATATATATAGATTAGTGATAAAATCCACATTTCTCAGTTTCATTACCCAATCACCACATAACTTTTTGTTCCCAGAAAAAGGCTAACTTCCCAAAGAGGCAGGCCAAGAAACTTTCCTAACGCTTACAAGCAAGTGGTTAGAAGGTATGTTACTCAATCTTTAGTAAGAAATTATGCCTTAAATAATTTTATTGTTTTATTGCTGGAGAAGAGCATTTTGTGCATTACTCTGGCACAATTTCTGTATGGGTTCTTTGCTAGGTAATCAGGGAGCTAGTGTGGTATTTTTTCCTCATCTCTGCCATAATATTCAGGAAATAGTTCCAAAACGACTGAAATAACCCTGCTGAAACATTACATGTAGGAGGGCTAAAGAGTCTACAATCCCCAGCTGTTTCATTCAACTCTGCCGAAAATAAATAAAAAACGAAGCAGCTGCAAGCATCTTGATGCTTCCCCATTGTAACATATGATTGGATTCTTTTATCAAAATCTTGAATTAATATGAATCTAAGCTTTTGAATCTAAAATTTATTTCAAATCTTGCCAACTATGAATCTCAATTAAAATTAGATTTTGATAGATTCTTACATCCCTAATGCCGGTTAGTTAGTTAGTTAGTTAGTTAGTTAGTTAGTTAGTTAGATTGATTGATTGATTGACTTTTGACCATCAAAACATATTTTGACATGAGTTTGATTTCCTTATCATTGGCTTATCATATTCCTCTTTTGGAACCCTCTTGTGATGACCCGGAGTGTAACACAAACGTAACAAAATCCAAAACATAAATAAATGTCCTTTAATGCCCCCAACTTGGCCCCACTGTTCAATAATTCTCAGTTGGAGATAAAACCTACTCAAAAATAGTCTTCAAAAGAAAGCAATACAGTCCAAACTTAATGAGCAGATAGAGGCGAAATAAAAAAACCAAACAAACTACAATGATGAAATTTCCACAACAGACATGGATAAGTAATTACCAACTTCAAGGATATAACAAGGCACAGTCTGTTGGAAGGATGCCAACCAAGATAATTTCAGCCCCAAATAACACACGCTTTGCTTCTGGCAACACTGTGCTATAATTTTCTCTCTTATATACTATTCTCCCCAGCTGCAACCAATGAGGGGGATCATGGCCGCTTCCTCTCTCGTAAGCCAAGTTGTTGCCTTCTCTGTTCCTCCCTGTGTGTCCTAGGATGCAGAGGCGATGGGCCTGGTTCTTCCCCTGACTGCCCAGCCGGCCTCTGCCCTTCCGCAGCCGCCTCCACAACTTCCAGAGCCACACCTCCACTCCCTGTCAGCTGTTCCTCCTCTCCCTCAGAGTCTGACTCTATCAGGGGCATGATACGGCATCACGGCATCATCACGTGACATATCGGGTAAATTTAGCACTTTCCCACTTCGCTAAGCCAGGCATGGGCATGGCCAGTGCGTGACACATCCAGCCCATGGGCCAGGAGTTTGACAGTCCTGCTCTAACCTAAATCTCAACACCCAACTCTGTGGCTTCTTCCTCTTCATGCTATTTCTAAAGCATGTCTTTTGACACTTGAAAGAGAGGGTTTGACAAGAGTTAGTCAATATAATTTAGCATACCGTTAAATGAAAGTATTTATTAACAATGGCTTTCTAATTATCCTTTCAGTTTTTAGAGTGGCTTATACAGGCATTGCCTTTAAGTTGTTCACTGAATATGGGCAATTATTGAGGCCAAGGAACAAAACTGACAGATTTATCAATTGAGGTATATGTACTCTAATTATTACTATAGTTTAATTATGTCTTCAAAGCTTAAAGGGCACCACTGAATCTTCTAGCATAAAAGCCTGCATGATGAATTAGATTCAAGAATGATACATAACTCAGAGCTTAAAGGAGGATCTGTGATTTGATATTGCTCAGAAAGTTTGGATTAATTAAATATCATATGGGGGTCTGTCATTTTACCTGTGAAAGATATGAGCACGTGAACAGAGCTCAACTTCTGAAGAGATGGCTAGAACAATCTCTTAGCAGTGCCAAATCGACCATTAGGAAGGTACTGTTTGTTAGCACTCTACTTACAGCAGAAGTGGGCAAACTGCCAACTCCCTGCAATCCCCAGACCTCTGGGACCAAGTTTTCCAATTTCAACAGCAAACTATCCAATCTCAGCGGCACATTTTCCCACAGATTTAAGCTGCTAGATTTAGCATATCTTAAATATCCATCCACCCTCTCTAAAATTGCAGCTCTCCTACAAGAACACCTCCATTCGTTTCTGTGACATCACAATAGATTCAATTCACTCTCTATGGTAGGGATGTCCAACTTGTGTCATCACGGTATTGTCACATGACATAGCGTGACTTTTTTCCCCCTCGCTAAACCAGGCATGGGCATGGCCAGCGCGTGATGCATCCGGCCCACAGGCCATGACACCCCTGCTCAATGGCTTCTGCCCCTTTGAAACAAATAGTTTAAAAAATGTGGTTCCTGGCTGCAAAAAAATCCTCTACTCCTAAACTAAAGATAGCTGTTAGAGCTTTAATGTTATGTTTTCTACACATGGGCAGCTGGAAGGCCAATTAGATGTTCTAATTCGAGCACAAAATGGCTTCAGAATGGGACACCTCACCGTGGTCAACTCACCACAGGACAACTCACCACAACCAATTCTGTGGGACAACTCACTGTGGAAGTCACTCAGTTCCTTTTATTTTTGTTGACCACGTTTTCATCAAAATTATTTTATCTCTTGCATCAAATAAATTCTTCCTATGACTACCAGCTTTTATAATGCTTTGATGAATAATAAAAGAAATTAATCCTGCATTGAATTGTCCTGTGGTGAATTGGCCACAGCGAGTAAGCCATGGCAAGTTAGTCTAATTGGTCCCAGTGAGTTGTAATAGACCCAAATGTCTTTAGCTGCCTTAGTCTTGGGTTTGTTTGAGTTATTCTCTCATGTATGAATTCATAACAAATGCCTAGACTAGTGTTTCCCAACCACAGCAATTAATAAGCTGTTTGGACTTCATCTCCCAGATTGGCTGGGTGAGGGATTCTGAGAGATGAAATCCAACAGCTTAAAGTTTCTGAGGTTGAGAAACAGGGCTTAGACCAGTGGTCGCCAACCAGTGGGCCGGGGACCACTGGTGGTCCATGAGAAAAATTTGGTGGTCTGCAAAGAAATGTCACCCCCAAAGCAATTAATCCAGGCTGCGTGGGTATACCGCCAACATGGCCTGCGTCGCTTGCATTTTGAACAGCATGAGGTAGTGAGGGGAGGGGGGAAGGGCGGAGGGGGGGAACTTGCCCAACTTGCCTCACCTGGCCACTGGGCTGCCTTTTTCCGCTTCTTTCTTCGTCTGCTTTTGGCTGCACACAAGGAAAGCAGCAAAAGTCTTTCTTTCTCTCCCCCAAACTCCGCCAGGAGAGAAAGCAAGACTTCTGCTGCTTCTGCTGCTTTCCTTTTGTTGTGTCTTTTAATTTTCTTCTAGGATCTGAACATGGAGAAACCGCGGCAGCCTTTTTTTATAGCCGCCTGCTCACGGCTCATGGCCGATGATGGCTCTTCAAATCTCCCTCCGCCACGGACCAACCCATCATAGGTAAGTATGCAAATATATAACACCTTTCATGAAGCCAAAAGTCTTTCTCTCCCTCCCTCTCTCTCTCTTCCCCCCCGCCCTGAGAACGGAGCTGGAGACGGTATCCTGTGATCCCAAGTAAAGAACGATTGATCGGTAGGAAATCGGGGTGGGGAATTTTCCTGCAGAGTTTTTTTGAGATTTTCCCAGTGTCTCTGGTCCGCGAGATTTAAAATTATGAGTTTGGTGGTCCCTGAGGTCCAATATGTTGGCAACCCCTGGCTTAGACTGTGATAATCTAATAAACATGAAGGTGTTCACATCCTACCTTAAAATATTAGTAATAGTTGTCGTGCTGGTAATGGTTCCTTCTAGATATGAAATCAATTAGTCACTTATTAGTCAAGTGAGCCAGTCAATGGCTCATTTCACTTTCCACTTCTACCTTTATTCCAATTATTCTACAACGTCAGGATCTCTGCCCTCAACAAGTCTGGTCAACAAGCTCATTAACATTCTGATGAGCTCTTGTTGTGTGCATTGCATTAGTCTGGCAAATATTTCTCAGCAAATCCTCTTTCCTATTCTTTTTCTGCTGAGAGTGAAGCAAAATATGTGTGGTTAGAAGATGGGCTGATACAACTGGCTATAGATTGTAAATGCTATGCATTCTTTTCTTTGGCTTGCCCCTATCTAATGTGTAACATAAGGAGTGTGTGGCACCTCCATGATTAAGAAATTCATTACGGTATAAATTCCCATGGTCTTCTGTTCATTTCCTTAAGCATATGGAATGTTATTCTGGGAGAGGCTCGGGGTATCCTTGGCTGGAGGTAAATGAAATGTTGGCAGTATAATTTTTCTTGCCCCCGCAGTGAAATCAGCTCCCCGAGTTGCGTATTGATTTTTAATAATAGGAAAACATGCCTCTGGAGGTCACTATGATTTGATCTGGCCCCAATTATTTACACTGGATATTTAGCACCATACTGTTTTTGCAAACATAGGTATGGAATCTGTGGTTCTCCAAAGGTTGTTGCACCTTTGCACAAGCAACAACATTACTTGCAATGTCATGGCAGAGGGGAATTGTGCCTGTTCCAGAGCAGCTTCTAATCCATTTCTCGGATCTCCACCCTTTCACTACTTGTGTCAGCTTTGGAAGCCATATTAGCACCAGAAGCTTGCACGCTGCCACATTCTTGAGCTTGGGAAGAATGCTGACAACCTGCGCCCTGGTTTGTCTACATGTTCACCAGGTAAGAGTTCCACCTGGATAGAAATTCCCACACAATAGTTAAGAATAGGAAAGGAAGAGAAGGAGGGAGAGGGAGGGATGGAGGAAGAAGTAGTATTTAAAATCTCTTACCATCACATTTTATTGGATGTGGAGATGCTCTGATTGATTGATGACTGTCCTACACTTTTCAATTATTATTTTTTAAATAAATGTGTGTGTGTGTATGTGTGTGTATACATACACTGCTGTAGCCAACTATCACCCATTGGCATTTTTTTTCCTTTCCACAAATAATTCCCTAAACCATGGGTGTCAAACTCGATTACATATCATGGGGTACCACATATAATGTGGTTAATGTAAAATGTGTGTGTGGGTGTGGGTGGGTGGGTGTGTACAGTACATGTATATCAATGATGGGTTTCAAAATTTTTTACTACCGGTTCTGTGGGCATCGTGTGGCTTGGTGGGCGTGGCTTGGTGGGTGTGGCAGGGGAAGGTTACTGCAAAATCTCCATTCCCTCCCGACCCCACTAACCTGCTTTCCAGCTCTGTTCTCCTGTGCAGGGCAACAAAAGAAGACCCAGCCAATCAGCTGGGACTCAGGATCAGAGAATAGATGGGGTGGGGCCAATCATAGGTGGCATTTGCCAGTTCTCTGAACTACTCAAAATTTCCTCTATCGGTTCTCCAGAACTGGTCAGAACCTGCTGAATACCACCTCTGGTGTATATGTATATATGTGTGTACAGTATATGTACATGTGTGTGATGACCCGGGGCATGGCACAAAGGCAACACAATCAAATAAGCAAGAAGAGTCCCTTTATTAGCTCCAACTTTGCCCCCAATGTCCAAGTTACCTTCGACTGGAGAAAAACTCTCCCAGGAACAGTCTTTAAATGGAGGAAATTCAGTCTGAAAACGAAGTACATCAAACTGTAACTAAAAATCCAAACAAACCATGCTGCAGTAATTAACTTGACAGGGCAGGAGAAGGAATTGCAGACTTGAAAGCACAGCAAAACACACACAGTTGGGAAGATGCCAGAAATACAGATAAGCCTTGACGAAACCAGATCATTCACGATTTGTTCCCAACAACTTGCTGTACACAGCTTCCCGTTTTAAACACTGTGTTCCCAGCTGCAGCTAGTGAAGGGAATCAGGGCCCTTTCCTCCCCCATAAGCCACACAATTCACATTGTTCCCTTCTCTGTTCCTCCCTGCGTGCCCTAGGATGAAGAAGGGGTGGGCCTGGGTCCTCCTCTGAACCTTGCTCTACCTCTCCCCTGCCCTGCCCAGCCAGACTTGGCTCTTCCCCAGTTTCTTCCACAGCCAACGGAGCCACACTCTCATTCCCTGTCAGCTGCTAGGCCTCCCCCTCCAAATCAGATTCCAACAGGCATGACAAATGTGTATGTATAAATAATGTTAAAAGTTTATTATCTTGTGGGGCAACATTACTAGCTGCCCAAGGCTGGATTTGCCTGGCCTATACAGAAGAAAATGATAACTTGAATCAACTATTTTGATTCCTCCCAATCTCTAAAGCTTTAGGTATTACATTCTGATTGTTTTCTACTTTAAAACAAAGTTGTAATCGACTCAGAATTTTAAGGATTGGGCAGAAGTAAGATGCTATGAATGTCATGGATGATCAGAATTAAATACACAGCTCTAGTAAAGGGAACAAAGCATTCATAAATCATCTTTCTGAGTTTAATCAAACCCATGTTTGATACTTGGGGTTAAGGGTAAATGAGAGTAAATCAATAAAATAAGTTAATTAAGAGCATCTGCATTTTGTAAAGGCCTATATGGATGTGTCAAACAGGAAAGGAGAGCTGTTCCTATGCCTTTAACAGAAAAAGTTCCTTAGAACGGAAGCAAGATACGGGTAATTTGCAGGCAGAATAGCAGTTGAGACTAATAAATGCTCTGCTATTCCTAGCACATGACTTGTATCAACTGCAATTTCATTCTATTTCAGCAAGAAAAATAAAAAAGCATTCTCCAATTTAAAAAAATGGCACCCCCAGAGACAACACAAACACATCCAGTGGTGCTGTGACGTTCTTAATACTCCCTGTCCATTCCTGTTAATTACTGTATTTCATTATTACTGTAATCTACTCAGAAGGATCATTATTAGCGCCAACTCAGAGTGACAAAAAACACGAAGACTTTTGAGTTCTCAGGAAAGTTTAATCAGGCAACATTTAGGGAAAAACATTTTAAGGAGACCCATTTAAATTTTGTTCAAGTCCAGTTTTACCTCCTACCCATTGAAATGGTGAGGGCAACAATTTATCTTCCAGAAATATTTCTTGTGTTATTATTATTCCAACTTTCTCACTGCAGGAAATCCTCAAGTTGTGACTATATTTGAGCCTGCCCATCATGGCCATAAACTTAAATGCGGCTGGCCTGATTTTATGATCTTTTTTGAAATAGTCGTTAAGAGGATCACTGGAATTGTTAAGTAAAGTCAAAGTAATTAAATGAAAGCCAAAATCATTAACTGATCCAGTGCTTTGCTATGGGTGTGGTTCTGCTGAAAACTGGAAGTAAATGGCCATTTTTGGCAAAACTGTTAGGTAACTGCAGGATTCGGCTGTTGTTGTTGCTGTCGTCGTCAGCCAATCAGCTATGTCCAACTCTTATGGATCAGCATCCTTCGTGCCCCTCTGTCTCGTACCGCCTCCTTCAGATCTGCAGTGGTCATTCCAGGAGTGTCAAAAACTCAATTTCATTGAGGGCAGCATCAGGGTTGTGTTTCACCTTGTGGGGGGGGCGGGGCGTGGCCAGCTCGGTGACACTCATCGAGCCTCCATTTTCAGCCACTACGGCCTCCTGCAGTCTTCTGCCAATGAAATGGAGCCTGGGAGGGTCGCGCACAGCCCTCCCAAGCTCCATTTTCACTGGCAGAGGGATGCAGGAGGCCTTTGCGGCCAGAATTGGAGCCCAGGTGTGCTGTACACAGCCTCCCCGAGCTCCGTTTTCACTGGCAGAGGGTTTCAGGAGGCTGTCGTGGCCCAAAATGGAGCCCGGGAGGACCGCGAACGACCCTCTCGAGCTCCATTTTCTCTGGCAGAGGCACCGCAGGCCGGTCCTTCACTGTTTCCAGGCCAGGAATGAGGGCCAGTTCTAAGCATCCTGTGGGCCGAATGCGGTCCGCGGGCCTTGAATCTGACACCCCTGGTTTATAGTGTCCAGCCAGCGACTACTAGGGCAGCCCCTTCACCTTTTTCTACTGATCACTCCCAGCATGAATTACGGCTGCAAACAGCCATAAATGTGGCTCGGTTGCCAAGCAAACCAAAGTTCAGTCATGGGACCCCAGTGACAGGCCACCATTGAACTTTGGATTCAGATTATAAGTACACCCCCCACCCCCCAAGTAGGTTTATTAGATCCCTGAATCTGGTCGCAGAGAGATTGGTTGTAATTCAAGGACTACCTGTATATGAAGGATGAAATATCATTTCATCCTTTTATCTCATTTCTTTCACGCTGCAAATACTTCCCTTTCCCTTTGTAATTTTTGTACAGCAGTCCTCCAATTTGGCACATGCAGATTATACTGGAAGTCAGGCTCCATAGACAGAATAATAGAGTTGGAAGGGGCCTTGCCAGCCTCCTGCTCTGGCAGGAAACTTTATACCATTCCAGACAAGTGGTTGTCCAATACCTTCTTTAAAAAACCCTGGCTGAGGAACTGTGGGGGTTGAAATCCACAAGTCTTAAAGTTGCCAAGGTTGGAGACCCCTGCTTTGGAGAATAGGTTCACCCCCTCTTCTTTGTGGCAGCCCCTCAAATATTGGAACACTGCTATCGTGTTACTCCTAGTCTTTCATAATAAATAATAATGGGTCTAAGTGTACATGGAGGGAAGTAAGCAATGGGGTGCCACAAGCTTCCATCTTAGGCCCAGTACTCTTCAACATCTTCATTAATGGCAAAGATGAGGAAATAGAAGGGGAACTTACCAAATTTGCAGATGATACTAAGCTGGCAAGAATAGCTAACACCCAAGAAGATAGGCTCAAGATCCAGATGGATCTTGACAGACTAGAACCGTATCGAACAAAATGAAATTCAATGTAGAGAAAAGTAAAGTCCTACACTTAGGCAAGAAAAACACATATAGACTGGGTGAAACCAAGCTCAATAGTAGTAACTCTGAGAGGGATCTTGGAGTCTTAGTGGACAACCAGCTAAATATGAGCCAGCAGTGTGCAGCAGCAGCCAAAAAAGCTAACGCAATCCTAAGTTGCATGAACAAAGGAATACAATTGAGATCAAGTGAGGTACTAATACCACTCTATAAAGCCTTAGTAAGATCACATCTAGAGTATTGCATCCAGCTTTGGTCACCATACTATAAAAAGATGTTGAGACTGTCTAGAAAGTGTGCAGAGAAGAGCAACCAGGATGATTAGGGGACTGGAGACTAAAACATACAATGAACGGTTGCAGGAACTGGGCTTGACTTGTCTAGTGAAGAGAAGGACCAGGTGAGACATGATAGCAGTGTTCCAAAATTTGAGGGGCTGCCACAGAGAGGAGGAAGGGGTCAAACTATTTTCTAAAGCACCCGAAGGCCAGACAAGGAATAATGGATGGAAACTGAACAAGGAGAGATTCAACCTGGAAATAAGGAGAAACTTTCTGACAGTGAGAACAATCAACCAATGGAACAGCTTGCCTTCAGAGGTTGTAGGAGCGCCATCACTTGAAACTTTCAAGAGATTCGACTCCTATCTGTCAAAAAAAGTGCTTGGGCAGGGAGTTGGACTAGATGACCTACAAGGTCCCTTCCAACTGATTATCTGATTAAATAGATAATTATATACATATTAGTAGACACTGCTTGCTGTTTCCTGCTAAATACTAATTACTTATTTGATGCAGGGTCTTTGAACATTCCTAAGTACAGTAATATTTTCTCTGAACAAAAATGAAAGTATATTGTGACTGGCCTGACTTTTGGTTCACCCTGTATATCTGGAGACACTGATATAAAGCATTGCTTACATGCTGATCGGTGCCTCACAGACTGGCTCAGTGTAATGACCGTTTTTTTTTTGTCACGTGGAATATATTTTGCTTGCTTGAGATGAACTATTAACCTGCTTGTGTCTCTGTTTCATTTAATAGCCACTTAATCAGATCAATGTTAATCTGTGTAAGTGGTCCTTTATTTTTTAGGAAAGAGGTCATTTTTTTTCTTCCTTTGCTTTTAAGTTCGACAAGACACAAACAAATGCTGTGAATACTAATTTGCCGTATTTTTCTTAGGCAGCATTTCTTACATGGTGTTCTGGGAAAAGTTCATTACATACAGCCATCTTCCCTGGTCTGTAGCCTGCCAAATGAATTGGGGGTGGAGTCCCATAATTTTTGTCTTTTTGTGACTGTATACAGAGGTGGTATTCAGCAGGTTCTGACCAGTTCTGGGGAATTGGTAGCAGGAATTCTGAGTAAGTCAGAGAACCGACAAATACCACCTCCGACTAGCCACGCCCCCATCTATTCTCTGCCTCC